TGTACGCTCTTATTTTAACTACAATAATAACATGTTTTCTCAAAGTTAAATTGAGTATTTATGTCGTTTTTTCCCTACAAGTCATATAATTTAATTTAAAAAAAGAGACGTTAATACAAGTTTTAATTTTTCTTTTACGTATTAATAATTCCAGACAATGTCATTTTCATAATAATAAAATAAACCCTTTCCCGGCTTCTTTCTCGCCTTTTATAGAGAAAGAATAGCCACAATGTCCTGTTGGGTTTTGGGTGGGGAAATGTGCTCATTTTAAACCTAAAATGTGCTTAACTGCTGAATCCTTTCCTGATTTAAAATAAATAAATAAAAATATGGGCATGGAACAATTTTGCTGTCCTACTTCAGTCCACGTTTGTTGTATTAAAAAGTACAGTACTAAAACGTGGCCACATGGAGGCGCCATTTCTCTGTTGCTAAAAAAGGCACAGGTAGTCACAGAGACCCAGGGCGCATCAGAATCAAGCATGTTCTTCTCTTTTCTTTCTATTTGAACTATGGAAGTGAAAATTTTGTTAAATGTGAAATATTGTCAAAGAAATCTGTCTACAAAGTTCACAAATATCTCATCACTGACTGAATCCCTGTATGCTGATTAAACACACACCGCTTATATTTCCACTTAAAAATCGTTTTTGTTTTGTTTTGTTTTAATGTGTTTTAATATTATGTTCCTCAAAGAATGACTTTTCCACATTTCCACGTTTCTTTCCTCTCCTGATCCTTCAGGAGCCACTTCAGATGTTGAGCAAAATCCTCACGGAGCCATAATTTGTCTATGATTGGCTGCAAAGTGTTCTGAAACGCCATCATTTGCATCTCGTGCCCCCACAACCACCTTTTTATGCTCCTCCCTGGGACCACAACAAAGTGACACTGAACACTGCACAAAGTCTTCAAGAGCTGGAGGGTGGTGGTGGTGTGGGGGAGGGGGGAGCAACCAATCCATACCTAGTAATACTAATAGTGAATGAAAAACACACAAGCAGGAACAGGATTTGCCTTGAACACATCCATATTATTATGAATAAATGTGCAAACACAGTTTATAATCCACTCAGTGTGTAATTCTTCTCAGTCTGTGTTGCACATTTCCCACCATTACACCCTTCTGTCTCTGGATTGCTTGCCCTCATCTGAGTAATGTGGGCCACACCATTACTTGTCATTCATTTCCAGCTTTCCTTAATTGCCAGGGTGAATTTGCCAACGAAGTCTGACTGTGCAAAATGAGAAGGGCATGTTTGATAATTACAGCAATTTACGAGCTAAAAGTCCTTTTATACTCCACAAAGATCATTTAAGACACAAGTGCTGTCAGGGCAACTCGCCTGGCTGCTTGAGTTTTCTCTGGAAACAAAGGAGAGTGAAGGTTTTATTCTTTGACTGTTTTAGTTTGTCGCTTTGTATTGACTACCTTCATTTCCTCTTAATATAAATTTTCCATGTTATACATTATTTTCCCCCCACCCTGTCATTGCTAGGGAATGTTGTGCGTCAGAAGCCTTTCTATCACTGCGTTTCAAGATTCAAGACTTTTTATTGTCATCAGGCCAACAAATTAGGACAATTCTCCAACACAGGGTTCCAAAAAAGGACTTGAATAACATAAATAAATATATATACATATATAC